TAAAGTTCACATGTCCTAAGATTCACCCCATTAAACCGTACAATTCACTGTTTTTTAGCATATTTACAAAGATGCGCAATCATCACCACTATATAATACCCCAACATTTTAATCACCTCAGTGGGTTTTCGTAATTGGCTGGTATAAATATTTAGAATGTAAGATTAAGGTGGGGCGCGGTGGCTCAGGTCTGCAATCCCAGCACTTTGGAAGGCGGAGGAAGGCAGATCATTTGAGGTCAGGAGTTTGAGACCAACCTAGCCAACAACGTGAAACCTTGTCTCTAGTAAAAATACAAAAAAATTAGCTGCACGTGGTGGCATACACCTGTAATCCCAGTTACTCAGCAGGCTGAGGCACGGGAATTGCTTGAACCCAGGAGGCAGAGGTTGCAGTGAGCTGAGATTGTGCCACTGCACTCCAGCCTGGGCGACAGAGCACGACTCTGTCTCAAAAAAAAGAAGAAGAAGAAAATAAAAAAAGAATGTAAGATTAAAGTGAATACCTCCAGTTTTCACCATCACTTAACTAATGCATGCATTTATTGAAACATAACTTCCTATTTTAGGTAAATTGTTGTACTAAAAATTTATGTGATATAAAACACGTATTCATATAAATTTTACTTAAGTATTCAATGAACACACAGATAACCTAAATTCTATCTTTTTTGTTTTTTGTTTTTTTGAGATGGAGTCTGGCTCTGTTGCCCAGGCTAGAGTGCAATGTCTCAATCTCAGCCCACTGTAACCTCCCCCTCCCGGGTTCAAGCGATTCTCCTGCATCAGCCTCCCGAGTAGCTGGGATTACAGGTACGTGCCACCACGCCCAGGTAATTTTTCTATTTTTTAGGAAAGGGTTTTCGCCAGGTCAGGATTTTGGTCAGGCTGGTCTCGAACACTGACCTCAACTGATCAGCACACCTCGGCCTCCCAAAGTGCTGGGATTACAGACGTGAACCACCGCACCTGGCCCAGAAAACCTAAATTCTTATTTATTCACCTGTCCTTACATTTTTTTTCTGGTTTGAAACAGCTGTTTATAAAAAGCAACTCCATTAAAAATTGGGGAAAGGACACAAACAGACACTTCTCAAAAGAAGGCATACATGCGGCCAAGAAACACGGAAAAAAAGCTCAATATCACTGATAATTCGAGAAATGCAAACCAAAACCACATGAGATACCACCTCGGACTAGTCAGAATGGTGATCATTAAAAAGTCAAAAAACAAAAGATACTGGTGAGGTTGTGGAGAAAAAGGAATGCTCTTACACTATTTGTGGGGGTGTAAATTAGTTCAACCTTTGTGGAAGACAGAGTAGCAATTCCTCAAAGCCCTAGAGGAAGAAATACCATTTGACCAAGCAATCTCATTACTAGGTATATAGCCTCCAAAATATAAATCATTCTATTATAAAGATCCATGCACACATATGTTCACTGCAGCACTATTCACAATAGCAAAGACATGGAATCAACCCAAATGCCCATCAATGATAGACTGGATAAACAAAATGTGGTATATATACACCATGCAATACCATGCAGCCATAAAAACGAACAAGATCATATGCTTTGCAGGGACATGGATGGAGCCGAAAGCCATTATTCTCAGCAAACTAACGCAGGAACAGAAAACCAAATACCGCATGTTCTCATTCATAAGTGGGAGCTGAATAGTGAGAACACATGGACGCATGCGGGGGAACACCACACACTGAGGCCTGTCCGAGGGTTGGGGGTGGGAGAAGGGAGAGCATCAGGAAGAATAGCTAATGGATGCTGGGCTTAATAGCTGGGTGATGGGATGATCTGTGCAGCAAACCACCATGGCACACAGTTTACCTATGTAACAAACCTCCACATCCTGCGCATGCACCCCTGAACTTAAAAGTCGGGAAAAAAAAAGAGAGGTAGCAGAGAAATTACCACCTTAATGAATTCCTTTCTTCACTTCTCATGTTGCGCCTTTCCCTAATTTTCCTCGTTTTTTTCGTTTATAATATTTATTTCCTAAATAATCTACCTTGATGAGTATTTATAAGTGAGTGAGCTTGGCTTCTCAGTATTCGTCATTGTGGCTTTCATACTATCCTTTCACTTCTCCTTACTATACTTTTGCATAATAGTTGTCTAATAAGTGTTTATGGAAATAAATTTATTGCAAACAAAAGAAATAGCACTTTATGATAAAATCTACAGAAATGCATGGCGATAAACAACAAAAAAAAATCACTCAACTGTTTTTTTTTTTTTTTTTCTGAGACGGAGTCTCGCTCTGTCGCCCAGGCTGGAGTGCAGTGGCTCGATCTTGGCTCACTGCAACCTCCGCCTCCCGGGTTCATTCAGCCTCTCGAGTAGCTGGGATTACAGGTACGTGCCACTACGCCCAGGTAATTTTTGTATTTTTTAGTAGAGACGGGATTTTGCCATGTTGGCCAGCCTGGTCTCAAACTCCTGACCTCAAGTGATTGGCCGGCCTCGGCCTCCCAAAGTGCTGGGATTACAGCATGAGCCACTGTACCCGGCCCAGAAAACCTAAATTCTTATTTATTCACTTCTCCTAATTTTTTTTTCCGGTGTGAAATAGCTGTTTATAAAAAACAAACAACCCCATTAAAAAGTGGGCAAAGAACATGAACAGACACTTCTCAAAAGAAGACATACATGTGGCCAACAAACATATAGAAAAAAGCTGAACATCACTGATCATTTGAGAAATGCAAATCAAAACCCCAGTGAGATACCACCTCACACCAGTCGGAATGGTGATTATTAAAAAGTCAAAAAACAGCTGGGAGTGGTGGCTTATGCCTATAAGCACAGCACTTTGGGAGGCCAAGGCGGGCGGATCATGAGGTCAAGAGATGGAGACCATCCTGGCCAACGTGGTGAAACCCCGTCTCTACCAAAAATACAAAAATTAGCTGGGCGTGGTGGCCTATGCCTGTAGTCCCACCTACTTGGGAGGCTGAGGCAGGAGAATCACTTGAACCCAGGAGGTGGAGGTTGCAGTGAGCCAAGATGGCGCCACTGCACTCCAGCCTGGTGACAGAGCAAGACTCAGTCACAAAAAAAAAAAAAAGAAAGAAAGAAAAAGAAAAAGAAAAAAAACCACACATGCTGGCAAAGTTGTGGAGAAAAAGGAATGCTCTTACACTATTTGTGGGGGTGTAAATTAGTTCAACCTTTGTGGAAGACAAAGTGGCAATTCCTCAAAGCCCTAGAGCAGAAATACCATTAGACCAAGTAATCTCATTACTGGGTATATACCCTCCAAAATATAAATCATTCTATTATAAAGATCCATGCACGCATATGTTCACTGCAGCACTATTCACAATAGCAAAGACATAGAATCAACCCAAATGCCCATCAATGTAGACTGGATAAAGAAAATGTGGCACATATACACCATGACCCATGGAAATACCATGGCACCATAAAAACGAACAAGAATAGCTTGCAGGGAATGGATGGAGCCGAAAGGCATTATTCTCAGCAAAATAGCAGGAACAGAACAACCAATCGCAGTTCTGCTTATATAAGTGGAGCGAGGTGAGACGTGACGCTGCGGGGGAACAACCCACTGAGCCGTCCTAGGGTTGGGGCGGAAGGGAGGCTCAGGAAGAAGCTAATGGATGCGGGCTTATAGCTAGATGGATGGAATGATCTGTGCAGCAAACACCATGGCACACAGTTTGTACCTATTA